TAAAACTGAAGACCATTTCTGTAAACCCCTTGCCATTTTCACTTATTTTGGTTTCCTCTTGATTTGATGTAGTTAAGAAAGACTTAGGTTATCTCTGAGTGGACTGCCAAAATAATAAACTTTGATTCCACCGCCCCAGTAAATCCAGTTAACGCTATATATCAGCATAAGTTCGCTTAAATGTAGCATGAATAGTACAGTTGCATTTGGATAGGATTACTGCTTACAAAGCGACGGTGTTCAATAGTATGAAAATACTACTCTGTTTACAAGTGCCTGAATAAATCTCGTCTGTTGAATAGTTTATTAGTATAATAAGGAAGGGAACTTGTAGCGACCTATTATTTTATCCTCCTACACAATTCATAGCATGGAAACTGTTTTTGACATTTGAATGTCTTACACAGTCGTCTAAGTTTCTGTGAATAATATAGCTATTACTCTGAGTGTCTGTTAGACATTTAAAATTCAGAAAAAAATTAATTGTAAGAAACTGATGATTAATTTTACACGTTAACGCCTACACATACAGACATTTTGATGGTAGTCAAAATGACTTTAAGTAAACTTAATAAACGTCTTAATATCCAAGCACAATTATCTTTTGGCTTTTATACATCATGATTACTTTTCTGAAACTGAAAAACATCATTTTTCACTCCTATTTCTCACATTTATCTGAATTAACAAAATAAATGACTGCCTTTCTTGACTTCAAACAATGACACATTACATAAAAGTCCATTTGTTAGTACTAAAGATTATGTAAATTTACATTCGTGGTAGACCTCGAAAGAGTTATACAAACCATATGATCATACATAATGAACTATAATGTCATTAATACACTGAATATTGAAGTGAAGAATATATATGTATATATCTGTATTCTGCTTTTTATCGCATAACTACCAAGCTTTATATTCAGCCTTGTTTTTCTGTTCAAAACGTGTTCATTTCTACCTTCATCCTTTGTCATACGATTTTTTTTAACTCCCACGTTTCATCTTCTTAAGATAGTTTTTGAAATAAACCGACTATAAACAGAATTTTCACAGTTGCTGAAGTGAGAAATATAAAAAATAGGAAAAGTTTATATGTCTGTTCCTTGGCTTTTTTCATGTTCTTTTTTCCTTAACTGAGGAAGAAACGACGATTATTAGTTTCATTTTCGACAAATTAAACAGATACTTTATATTTGTAAACTAACCTTCGGTATAATATGTTGTGCTACCACTTTACAGTGCTAATTAACCACACTAATAATAATATTTTAACAGCAAAGTACATTTTAAATTGCAGTTTACCGTACTAATGTAGTAGAACATTTGTATTTCAGCCATAGAGTGAAATGGCCGCTACTGAAGTACAACGCTTGATCAACGTTTAAAAAACATTTGATAATTGTGAAACTGGTTCGTACTACACATTTGCTGTACATATTAGGATGATGAGTATTGTAAAAGTTAATATGAAGCATGGCTAAACTAGAACTAATAAGGTAAAATTTACAATGGTTCTGCGATTCCAACAGTTGCGAGTACAACAAACAAGGGGAGTTCGTAGAGTTGCGGCAAAAATATTTCTCTTGATAACTGTTAATAATTGACCCTTCACAATGTCAACAACTGTGTCATAGTTGAATTCTAAGTTCAAATTCACTAGTTAAAGTTTTAGATCCTTATGAGTAACTTCTAATATTTCCTTTTTTGATTTTGTCAACTTTTATTATGTAAATTTTTAATTCAGATACCAACTTCACTTCATTATTGATAATTATTTGACAATTGTTCTATGTATTCTCAATCTCTTGATTTCTACTTACGCTTACTTTACATACGTTACTTACTCACAATCTCAGATATTTTAATGATTAGTATTTTGTTATCATTCTGCTATCACCCTTATAAACACAACCTAAAAGCCATGTAGATATTCTTCACTATTAGATGATGTCGCTGAAAGTAAATTTGTTCGCTGATATATTTCTTTTATTTCCCGATGACAGTATTGATATGTACTGAAACTTAAAACAAGCCACATTAAACGTTTCCAGTGAAGCTAATTTTAATATTGAAAAGCGTTTACCTATAAGGTAATAACTGGTTAACTATTTAGTTACCAGAAAAGGTTTGAAGTATGTGTGTCTGGCATAGATCTTACACGTAATAATTTGACGTAGAAACGTTATAAAACATATCAGGATTCATTTAACTCCCATTCCTTTCGAATCTGCAATGTCTCAACCACATATACACTTCTAAGGGTTTTCAGAAAGTCGATTAACTTCAATCTGATTTCGGCAATAAACGTCATTATCAAAACTTCAAAAACTTTTCCGACGATTGTTAAATTATCTCCGAGGTTAGAAGTTTGCTCTCAAGCTATTTATTAGATCACCAGATGACTTCATAAGCATTTTTTTTCATATAGAAGCAAGAAAAGAACAAATCTCAAACCTGGGGGGACATCAAACACTTTTCATCTCCATTCTGAACTACTCTTCCTTCTATTATCTTAAAATCGTGTTTGCTGGGTGTTTAATTCTTTTAATTTTCATACAACTGTAGTGTACTGTCATATTTTAAGTGTTTCCGCAATGAAACCAAGTTTTTTCGCCATCTTTTTATCAATCTTTACAGAAAGTGGAACAGCACAATATCATTTGACTTGCTCTGAAGATAACAACGTTCCTCTTGAATAAAAAGTGTGACGACAATGGATAATTACTATATCTTACCTTCTTCTGCACACCTTAAAAATCATGTGATTGACACACGTCACGTGGTTCAGTATTAAGCATGGGGACAAAAATCAAAAAGTAACCAAATTATCAGCCTTGTGTGATCTGCTTTTTCAAGGTAGTCATGTTCTGTTCTTAATTATTATTGAAATTTTCACTTACTTAAAAATGGTTCAATTGCAGCTGATATGAATGGCTTCCATTCTTCAGTGGAAAGAATTGAAGTGTGAACTGATCATCAAATGAAGATTATTTTCACTCCAAGTTAAAGTTAAGTAAGTCAACTTTTAATATAAAACAGCGCTGAACATCTCTTTTTATCAACAAAAAATTGATTGTATAGAATACGAAAATACACTGAATGTTTACAGCAGTCACAACTTTCTTATTTTTTAACGGACACCTTAGCATTGAATAGGCTGACTGAGGCCCATTGTCTTATATTTGCTACTTTAGCTTGATCCTGATCAAGTGTAACAGTATTTCGAATAAGTCAGTGTCTCATAAGAACATGACTAATTATTATGAGTTTGACAATTCCTTCTAAATGAATCTCAAAGTAAGGACACGCTGTTATTTAATTCATTTAGGAGTGATGACAGTCTGTGTTGAAAACTGTAAGATTCGTGGTCTGATAAACCAATTAATTCAAACACCTTTCTAAACATGTAGTTAACTTTATCGCTTCTTTATGCTCATTCAATTTCATATTACATCTGTTATACCAGTTAGTGTAGACCTGATTTTGTTTTTTGTGCCAAAACATCAATACCTTTCCTTCAAGTTTAATGCTGACACACTGAGATTGTTAAGTGTTCTAGTCTATCTGTTTTGCTTACTATGGAAATCAGTATGACAAACTTAACCACCACATTTTAACCATTTATGTGTCAGTTATTTGCTACTGACTGTTTCCATCTATCTGATTATGAACTAAAGTCTGCACATAAAGTCATTTGTAATAACATGGTATTTCACTCACTAACAAATTCACTACCTCCAAACATATCATTATAAGTAAGATTAAATGGACGCCAAATCTCATTATTGACAACGAGTTGAGACATAGTGACATGCCTATTTGGTAAGTTACACGTTTTGATTAGATTATGTACATAGAATAGAAACGTAGTACAATGATTTCAACAACGGGAAGTCGAGACAGAGGTTTTTTGTTCAGAATTATATAAGAATTTCAAAAAGTCAATGTTCCCAAGTGCTTAGCCTTACGCTTTCCATCGATATTCTGTTTAATACATTTCTGAGCATAATTTGTCAAAGAGTCAAATCAATGTGAAAGATGAACTGGAATTTCTTCCTACATTTTTTGTCGTTCTCTTATATGAGACATTTTACAAATATTGTCTATTATGTTGCGTTCGTACAGTTTCGAATTCTGATTTAGTTCATCCTCCAAAAAACGTTTTTAGGACCGTGAGACTGAATGGAAATTCCTGTAGAAAACAGTTCCAGGTCTCAATTTATTGCTGTGTGAAGTACACAGAAATCTTCTAGAGAATTATTTGGAAACTGTATCAAGTTAATTCAGACCGACTATTGATAATATGCAAGTATTTTTGGTCTGTGGCTTCAACTTAAAATAAGGCATATCTACTGCCTTACTGAGTAATCTGAACTGTCTTATTCTAAGCTTCATTTTCGGCTAGCAAACGATTGTGCCTATGAATGAAAATAAGTATGCCTACTCTTTTGCTATACAGAGACTTTTCAGATTCTTAAGTAAAAAATAGGAACTAACTACTTTAAAAAAACTCAGATGTTTGACAGCAGATTTCTTGTTGTCTGAAGTGCAATCAAATCCCCACTAAAATTCTTCGTAGTTCAACCAACAGATATCAAAAGACGAAAATGTTTATTCAGCTTCACTGTTGATTATTACCAATAACATACCCTATAGCTGAATCATAATTGGTCGGCTCTGTAATGTTATTTTCATGCCTAAGAATGAGCTATCTTAACGTTTCTAACCCCCTCCTCACGCTTCTTTGGTTGTAAGTCGGTTGAACATAAAGCATGAAGCATAAAAGGCAATTACCACAGGGGTGTATAATTTCAACCAATGCAATTTTACAAAGAACCTACTTTAAGGATTGTCAAAATATGGAAAACGAAATGGGGGGAATATTCTTCACGTGCTTTGCAAACGGGATTGGTCAATTAACCAGGCCTATGACTTTTTATTGAAAGCCTGTCTTATAGGTCCATACTTAGTATATATACAAATGAACTGCATGTGATGAAGCATTCAACATCAACTTATTCATCTGAGATCTACTCTACCGAAGTGTTCTATTTTAGGAAAGGTATCTTGCCGTTAATTGTGTTTTATCAGTTTTATTTTTACTTAGTTTACAGATCTATGATGAACGGTTACCTTTTTATCTGTGCAGTAATATTGCCTACTGTTTTCAGTGTACCAACAACATATTTTGCACAACAAATTAGTTCTTTTCAATCGTCATCGCAGTCAACAGGAGCCAATCTTACTGATTTGGTTGGTCAGAAGAGTTATGTGATCAAAACAATAACTAGCGTGCCACTTTATAGAATTGTGGGCTATTTCACAAATCGTACAGAGGAAACAGAAGCTAAGGTACACGACTTACAAATTCCTCATGCAATGTATTACACGCATATATACTTGGCATGGAAGTCTGCAGACCAACTAATGTCATCTGTAAGTTTTTATATCTTAGTTCTTTGAATTTTTGAATACTCTTGTTTCTATGACTAATCATTGTTATAATAAGTAACAGAAGTTTTCCAAGGTTAAACGTTTCATTTGCGTCTATATTTACTCTAAATTAAGGTCAAGCATTATAGAAGGAATTTTGATAAATTTACTCTTTTAAACTGATGTCAAAGATTTACTCCAAATATTTTCCTGTCACAGATAACTCTGGAATCAGACGGCCCTGATGGTAAACTGAATGGTGCTAATTTGGTTTTGTCAACATCCAGACTGGGTGATATGTATGCTCCAGGTTTGATAACGCCAGTTCTTGATTTTGTCACAAAATGCTATGATTGGGCTAAACCACGAAATTCACCTATCCCAATAAGCACTGCATTTGTATCAACTCTGAGAGTGGCAGCTACAGGTGAAATTAATAAGGCACTGATTCAATATACAACAGAACAGTTTTTGAGAGCAACGACCCCTGGTTCTTATCATTTGGTTTGGGAGGGAAATTCAGAAATGGTAAGTCGTTTCTATGTCTACCAAATGTGTTGAATTTGGTATGTTTATTAAAAAATCAGTAGAAACTGTTAAGTTTAATAATCGTAGGTTGATTTTTCGATAAACGTCCATTTTTCGTCCATTTTTCTAGTGAATTATTGTTACTTGTCATGTTCATAGATTAACGCATAGCTATATTAAACGACGTGAATTTGTTCAAATGGTCTCATTTAATTAAGTCATTAATAGGGATAAACACCTCAAAATATGGAAACCATGTTAGAACGGTGGTCAAACGCTTACTTAAGTAATGGAAAGAGAAACAAAAGACTTGGAAATAGAGAATTACGCTTCTTCAGTAAAACTAGAGACCAACTGTTTGAGTGTTTATTCAACAAAATTTTTGGTATCCGAAAGAGTAAGAATTACATTTTCTAGTATTGATAAGCCAGAAGTAAAAGAAGCATTTAGTATGCTCTGTTGTCAAGTCAGTGTCACCATGCCGATAGCTGCTACCTTAACGCGGTGGTCGGGCTTGCATATCACAATGACCCAACGAGCTATGCTGGTGAAACGCTTGTTCCCTCAAGGTCCTGCCATACCAGAAAGTCTGTTGGGTAGTGATTGGACGAAAAGGAGTTACCGTTATGATGTAAATTACTGCACTATGATAAGGGTCCGAGGGTGAAATCGTACTGCTGCTAGCTGGATGGGATGTGACAGTAGTAAGGTGTTTTCCTTGGATGACAAGCAGTACCATGCTGATGCTGCAGTCTCAGTGAAGGGCGGGGGTTTAGAAAACGTCGACCCCAAAAGTAACACACTCCACTATACCCCACAGTCTGCCGGGCCGGCGGTGTTGCTTCATTTGTCGTTTCTTTTCGACCATCCGACTCCAAAACAACAAAATTTCAAAATAATCATACACAAAAGGCTAGATGTGACAGGCCTCAAGCAGATGTCCGATGGTCTTTGCGGTCACACAAATCTCTTTCAGGTACCTTAAGAAGAAATAGCCTTCCTCTGTGTGGGCAGCTGGGAAGTGTCAACCGCCTTCATAACTCGATCAGCACTCAAGTAAGTGCCAATTTATATTGAAAATGCAAGAATTATCCTATATTCAAACTATTTTTAGTACAAAAGCAAAATTAATTTTTTTTCCTCCTTATTTCAGAGCGAATTTATGAAACAGCTAAACTATGAAAAAGTTGTGTGTGGAGGAAAAGTATCACCTTCTAATCCGTGTGATTGGACTTTGATGGGCTTAACACCAGAAAAAGCCGAAGAGCAATGTTTATATCGACTCATTAATACAAAATCGAGCCATAATGGTTTGGGTCCAAGTTAAAGAAGATGGTATTCATCTGCATATAGTATTATATCCAAAGTATCCCTACGGTGAGAAAACATACCCAGAAGTTACAACTTATTACGTGAAGTGAAGGTTAAATAAAAACAGCAAAACGTATCAACATTAAGAGTACTTGCCTCCTCACATTCAGATTTTTTTTATCATGAGAAATGATTATGTTTCCCAATTTCGTTCTTTTCACTGAGTGTATAACATTAATATGTTTTACCGATATTTACAAGATGCATTTCCATCTGCTTTAAGACATTTTTGACTTGTCTTTGCATTTTCATCTTCGATTTAACCAGAAACTCTGATTTATGTTCTATCTTTTACCGTTGTCCCTGTCATCATCATACTACTCATTACCAGTTTTTGAAATAAAACATTTCTTGAATCAAAATCTGTGTTTGTGAAACTAAATCATTTCTATGCCTTATTTTTAATTGCCTTTTTTGTATCGTTCACTTTTTGCTTGAATTAAATATGTCGGGAAACAAACGGCCATCTATACTTTTATGTTCATCTTGTCGAAAATGTCAATATGTTAGCGGAAAAGGCTTTAGGTCATGGGTTACAAGATACAAAATCCCCCAAATAATCTACGGTAGAAGTGAAATAAATTTAAAGTTTATCTAATAAGTATAGTGAATGCAGAAGGTGATTTTTAGGACGAATTAAGAGCGTACAAGAAACGTCATCATACACTCATCCAAATTTTCATTTTATCTTTCGTAAAGGGCAGAAAGTTAGATATGGCGAGTGAAGGAGGTAGATACTATGCTATTCAAATCATCAGTCATAAACATGACCACCAGCAGTCTACCTGAATTTTCCGTTGCAAAAAACATGGGCGTGTATGTAATCTTTTGGTGTAAAACATTTTTTAGTACCCTTATTTCATTACTATCGTATCACTTTATTTTCGCTACAGAAATAAGTTTCTTTTCATTAGGAAGGACACCAGAACAAATTAAAATTCAGATTTTTCAATGAGATAACATCAAGGTCATGTAGTGTATTACTTTAGGTACGTTGCTGATTCCATCTTATGCTGAAAGGCTTTGAAGTCACCACCTCAGCATTAGAGTTTCAATAGTTTAACGTCATTGTCAGAAATTAACTCCTGAATAAAAGTTATTTATCAATGATTACTAGTCATTTTGACGATATTCTGGTTAGATCACCCTTTCAAAAAAATAATAATAATATAATAATCCCAGAAGGCAACTACGTTTAATCGGAAAGGTCTTTCTGCAATCAGATAACTGAAATAGATTCATATACATTGGTAATTAGTAAAGAAAACTGGAAATCGTATTACAACTTAAATTCCTAACCAATCATTTGTTTCCAAGGCAACAGGAATATTCTTAAAACATTAGTATACATCTGCAATCAGAAATTTTGGAGACAGTTTAAAATTCTCAAATCATTTCATAAAAATTACGGGTGCTTTCGGTTTTTATCATTTATTATCTGTCCCTTAGGTTCCTAGTGAAAAATGGGGTTTCAGTAACATGTCGCCATTTCACTCCGTCTCTGTAGTCTTTTCAACATGACTCCACGACAGCCCACAAGCTCTCATTTCTTCCCCACACGATCTTCTCCATGTCACCGTCGCACGCCCAACTGGTCGTTTCCCATGCTGGTTCCACTCAGGGGCCTGGTGCATGGGTGCCCAGATGATCTTCTCAGTGTACGCCCAATGGATACTCTCGGTACTGAGTGAAAGTTTTATAACTAATGTTGAATCACAATGTGAAAACAATAATAATTTTATCATATATTTGCTTTATTCCGCACCAGCGAGTGTGATATTACAGCAGTTTAGCCATAGTCTAACGTTTTTAAAACATTAACAATGGTTTTGTTTGACAATACATAATAAACAATTACAAATAACAGGATTATTGAGATATTTAATGACTTCAGGCTCATGACAATTATTTGCTATTGCACAGTTGATTACCACGACTATGTCCAGCAGGATTTTCGTCGCACAATACAAAAGCTAAATAAGGTATGCTTGAATTTTCGTATGCGATTGTGCGTGCATAGAGTTTAATATATTTGCTTCTTGTCTTTCTAGATAACACACAGAGAGAAGTGCGTCTGTAGAGGATGATTGTCATCAGCAGTGGTCCACAAGAGTTCAGATGCGTATTCAGGACTGCATTTATCAGCTCGGTTAGAGGTGTGCTAGTTGTTTTACTAACAGCCTTCAAAACCCCATGCAATACAGCATAGTCTTTTTACTGGAGTCCAACAAAGAATAAGGGGTAACAACAAGTAATTATAGGCAAAACACAGGAATTAATGAAAAGTAAGAGTAGAGGCTGAGTTATGCCAGATAGACTGAATTTCGTAATATAAAAAATCAAGCTAAGGATTTTCCCAGAAATCAGTAAGATATGAAAGAATCAAATAAGGTCCAAAGAAAAACATATGTCAAGATGGAACACGCCTACTACATTCTCCATAACTGAGCCATCTGCTAGATAAAAGTTATGAGACTGAAGCAATGTGCAAAGGTCTTTTTCATTTCTTAAGCTAAGATTAACTATCTGACGTTTGCAAAATATTTAAATTTTTCGTTGAAAAAATTTAACTTCACTTAACTGAGTTGATTAACTTGATACAAGATTTCTGTTAGTATAATAAAAGGTATAGTGAAATATTGAAAGAGGTCAAACAAACTTTTATGTGTGTGAATTGGCATATGTTTTCAGTGACAAATTACTATAGCAATAGATAGATACAAATTTGTTGAAGATTTGGCTGATAATTGGATAATACACCTTCATTTCTAAGTAGTTTAACATTCATTTATCAGAATTTCGTCAATAAATTGATGGGATAATTCAGTTATCTATCTGTACTTTAAAAAAGATATAGTCAGTGAAATTGAGTTACTTGCTTGTGTATCTAGGCGTTTGCAGTTGTTACGTAGGAGATTCAACAAGTTCTGAAGTATTCAGAATGAAAAGAGTATGATTTCTACATCATTTATAGAAATGATTTATACTAGGAGACAACAGTTTCACATCCATCAGTAGTCTATCAGTTTGCATACTTTGAAAGCAGTAAAGAAGTAAAATCACACCTTGTTGATCGATTACACAATTTCATGCCTCTATTATTAACCTAAATAACAATTATTACAGGTTTTAATTCATTGTGGGTAGGCGCATTTAATAAGCCGAATCAGACGATAGTAGACATTAATAATAGTTTATTTTCCCCAAGTATTTTGTCGTAAACTAGTTCTTATGCCATCAACTACTACATAGAAAAAATTTCTGTCTTGACGATAGAACCAGTAAGTTCAGGCAATATTTAGGTTAAGTTTAGTAATGTTTTACAGTATCGTATGATAATTTTCTTTGAATATACATAGCGTAATTCCAACTGGAATCCTGGTAAAGTGACAATATAATCTATTTTGTTTGATTTGAAGTATTATATGTTCACAAATGTTTTATTGGTCTATATCTCGACAGACCAGATGTGCTATTTTCTTTCTGGTGTTTTGACTAAGTGGTTGCACTTGGTCCTCTTTCTTTAACCAATAACTAAATCACTCAGTATACATAAATCGGTAAATCAATGGAGATAAAACAATTATTTTTTGACATTATTTTAAAAAATAGGTCTACATTTCAGTTGTTTGATGCCATTGGGGATATAAATAAATTTTTGGTATTATTTTAGGCGTCTGTATACATTTTACCACTTAAAGACGACGAAATAAAAATTTATCATCTTTCTTGTTTAGATGCTACATTATAGCCATTTCCCATGTCCTTACTGTGTGTCAAGATGATAAGTAAGCTCTTCATGGATGTATTCCTACTGGAAGTCAAGTAAACATTTTATAGGGTAAAACTACATATGACGAGTTATCGTAGACACGAGACACTTCCTTAATTCTGATCTTCATCCTCAGTCAAAAGAAATATGATAATAGACGCAAAACCAGTTGTGAGAAGACACTCTAACTTCAGGGTGGGCGAGTCATCAGTTTGATCCATCAAGCTAACAACAAATAAAGTCTTAAATTGTTGATTTTACTTGTTTTATAATGTATTTTTAGACTCAGGAACACGCTATTTATTTAAAGTTTTCAGATTTAATATGAATTTCTGTGGTACATAAGCTCCTTTTTGAATTTATCTGAAAGAATAGCGGTTGACAGTTTTGTAAGCAACAGTAAAATGTTGAAATCCCCTTTTGTTATTTCATTGGAAATGTACACATCATTTTTATAAAACTTGTGGTGTGTTTATTCCTTTTTTGACAGTTTGCCCATTATCTTTCTTGTCGTAGCTCCCTTCTTTTCGTAACTTTTCAGGCAGTTACCTATGTGAGCACATGGAATTTCGTTATATTTTGTCCCCGAAACGTTTCCTTTGCTACCGATCTAACTGTACGTTTTCATTTGCATCGGCCTTCTCTGTGCGGCACATTCTTGCACACATGACTTAAAGCCTTCTTGAATCTTGTTTGGCTGTCAACATTCTTTATCTTTATTGCTAGACAGTTGAGTATCTCATAAGTTTTATAGTTCTCAAGAGTTAATCTGTGTTGGACAACATGCCTTTCCTTTTTCGAGGAGACTGTTCTTTTGAGCGCTGACATTACAGGTCCAACACACTAACCGGAACTTTTAAACGATATCTTAATTACATATTATTAACCTTAAGCTATATTTCTACGTTTTTTATTTATGCTCCCAAAAGAACATGCCAGATGACGTTTGAAATACCAGTATACCTAAAAGGTTCAGTTAAAATAATATATGTAAAGTAACTGTAATAAAGTGGAATGCTTTGTTAGCGTCCTTATTGCAAATCATACCTTATCAGCAATTGAAACTATATAGAATTAAAACTGCATAAAATCATAGATAACAAACTTGCAATTTTTTATATCATGTAAACCTATAAAAATTAGGTTTGTTAAAAGCATATTTGTGTTGCAAACAATGAATAGAC